GGGGGGGGGGGGTGCAGGCCAGCAGCCACCTCGACTTCTGACACCCGACCTCCAGAACTGTGAAAGGATAAACTTCCATTGTTTTAAGCCAGTTAATTTGAGGTGCTCTGTTATGGCAGCCCCAGGAGGGTAATACAATTACCCACTTAAATCAGTGTCCCCTCAAACAGTGAAAAGGTGTGTTCTGACTGTCAGTGCATCTCAGACTGAAGATAGATACATGAAACTTTCAAAACCCCAAAGGAAAAAGTGGTGAGAAGGTACCAGTTGAGTTTCAGTATTGATGAGACCCTAGGAGAACCTAAGATAAGCTGTAAACAGTAATTTCAGCAGCAGTGGTGGAAATGTTTTCCTGTCTCTGAGGCAGCATGTGAGAATAAAGCAGCGAGACCAGGAAGGAGCAGGTGTTTACCCAGAATCCAGTGGGACATCCACGTGCACTTGCTGGAAGGACGGTTACCTGCCAAGCAGGTAACTTCAAGGTCCTGATTGTCTTCAGCTTCAGAATTCCAGGCATAAGAAAACACTGTCTTACTACTATTACAGAGCATTTATTTTTTAAACTTATAATTTGAAAGCATTAAAATGCTGTTTATACAAAATCTAATTTGAAAATATTTCTGCAATGTGTATAATTTAATGGTGAACTTCCTTTCATTCAAAAACGTATATCCTCTTAAATTACTAAAACTTCTTCAGAAATGAGTGAACATCCTTTATACAGAACAAACGAGAGGATCATCACATGCCTTGCAAATGAAAGCTGATGAACAAGTCCCCTAGCAAAACAAGAAAAACAAGCTAAGTTTTTAAAAATATTTTTTAATTGCTTTTTAGAGATAGAGGAAGGAAGAGGGAGACAGGGGAACATCAATATGACAGTGAAACATGGGTCGGCTGCCTCCTGCACATCCCCCCACTGGGGACTGAGCCCGCAACCTGGGCATGTGCCCTGACCAGGAACCGGACCAGCAGCCTTTCAGTGCGCGGGACAGCGCCCAAGCGACTGAGCCACACTGGCCAGGGCACAAGCCGAAATGTTAATAGAAACTTTGCAATGACGGTCATTGATGAAAACTATTAAATAAAAAATAAGGTGACAGACTGTTCTGATAAACCCTTTTCTTTTGGGTTTATATTTTAAAACAGCTATTTTTTTCCTCTTACTCTTCAAGAACACCATAACAAATATTAGAAGGTAACCTTGTCTACCTAGGAACCCCATATTCCAGAAAGAAAAAGACCCTGAAAAAATACCCTGCTCTCTGTTACTAACCAGCAGATAACTCTTTGCCAAAAAATAATGCACGGACATGAAGCTCTTGGGCCTACAGTTTTATTAAATGTTCATAACCTGCATTTGGTGAACAGTAGGCAGAGTTGTAGGATTCCTAAAATACTTCATCAAGGCAACCACATTGATAAAAGGATGTCTGATGGACCTCAAGTATAATTTAAAATTAAAATTTTTTTAAAAACCATGGTCTGAGAACTCAAAAATAAATTGGAGGTCTATACTGAACAGAGCATGGGGTAAGACACAATTTCAGAAACACTGAAATTTTACAATTGCTTTTTAAAATTAGAAACTTTCTAAACACAAAGTACTTCAATGGTATATTGTACATTATATTGCACAGAACGTATTATAGTCTTTGAACAAAAAATACAATAACCCAGAACAGGTAGAATTATTTTTCTAAGAGGTAACTGACTGTCATAAGTTCTGAGTCCACGCCAGCTGCGATATGATGTGAAATTAAGTTCTTAATCATGATAAAACCATTTAGGTAAATGTGAAGAGCAGAGGGGGAAATGATAGGTCTGCATCAGTGAACATTTGAAATGAGGCTCATTTTAAAGGTCAACGACCTGGAAATCACTTTCTGAAAGAGCCATCTTTCTGTCCTAGTAAACAAAGATACCAGTTTAAATGGAGACCCTGGCTTCTCCTAATTCCCTTTCCCTCCAAAAAAACAACCTCCAACTGGGGCAAACTCAAGCCATCAGGGAATCAACAGCAGTTCAAAGAGTCAAAATAGTAGCTGGGTGACTGACAAGAGGGGGAAAAGACAAAACAGTGCCATCCCATTCCCTCCACGCCACCCAACCAAGAAAAGAAAAGTAAAAACAAGAGGAGTAACTGAATACAAGTAATAACCAAGAATCAAGCTCTTTTTTTTCCAAATTGGGGGATAAAAGAAAAATTCACAATTGTTATTTTTGTAAGACACTTCCCAGAACTAAATAAAGTTAAGAGGCCCTTCTACTTTTGCTTTACGAATTTAATCTACAAAGCCAATCTCTATGGAGAAAGAAAGAAACCGAAAGTAGCCAGACAAAAAAGATGAGCCACACATTCAAGCCTAGTCAAAGCTGGCAACAGTTTTATCTACGGCGAGGCTTCTACAGTAACAAGTGTATTAATTTCCTCGCCCAGCTTTCCCTTCTGCTGGGGAAGAAGGCAAAACAAAGTTGCACTTCTTGTGCAAACAGTAACAATCTTGTTTCAAGAGAAGGTCTCCGCCTTTTCAAAGCGCGCTTTCGAGGTTAAACAGTACCCCCTTCTCACGCCAAACGGAAAAGCCTGAACCGCCTGCCCTACTTCCCCGTAGATCCGCACCCACTTCGCTAAGCACTAGGATGGCGAGTTAAAGAGGGGGGTGCGGGGCGGCGGGTCCCACCTGCGGCTCGGAGCACGGTTGCTACAGCTTCCTCGTGTGAACTTGGGGTCCCCTGCACGGAAGCCCGGGGCCGAACCCTTGGGGTAAGAACCTGAATGTTGCCCCGACGTGGAGGGTGAGCTAACAGCACGTGTTCTCGGGCGGATCTGCCCGGAGGGCGCCCCGATCCTCACGTCCCCGGTGGGGCCGGCTGGTCGCCGCGCGGGACCCGGGCGGCAGGTGCGCGGGGGGCGCAGAGCCTCACCTGCACGCCGGTGTAGTTCTCGAAGAAGAAGAGCACCATGCTCTGGTAGATGCAGTAGAGCCGGTCGTCCACCGCCTGGTAGAAGCGGGAGGGCAGGAAGGCGGAGAGCAGCCGCCAGGCCCCCCAGACCAGCACGTAGGTGGGCGCCGTGCCCAGCATCACGGCTGCGGGCAGCACCGAGCGCAGCGAGTACATGTGGAGCACCAGTGACAGCAGCATCCTCCCGGCTCTGCGCGCGGCCGGCTCC